AGTGATTAATGCCATATGTGTAATCGTGAGAGGCAATCCATTCAACACAAGGGTATTGAATTACATTACCTAGTTTTTGCTCTTTTGGAATCTATTGTAACTACTAGTTAGTTTCTAATGAAAATTAAAAAGAAAGAGGTTCAATAGCATGAACACCACTTTTTGATGGGATGAATTAGGCACATTGGAAGGCTCAGATGAGAGCTTTTCTTAAATCACTTGATGAGCGGGTGTGGTTGTATGTGCTAGAGGGTTGGAACCCCTCGACTGTCATCACCCTTGTTGAAGGTGGTGAGTCCGTCGTTAAAAGTGTTCTATTTATAAAAAGAATAAGAAAGTACTTTCAAAAGTAAATCAAATTCTGTTATTTAGATTGAGAGAAGTATATGAATTAAGTGAAACTAAAAAAGAAAAAGATTCTATAATCAACAATCAGATAATTCATGAATCGTTTAATCAAATTCGATCTACAGATTGGACAAATTATTCCCTGACAGAAAAAAAACTGAAGGATCTGACTGATAGAACACGCACAATTAGAAATCAAATAGAAAAAATTACAAACGACAAAAAAAAAGTAACTCCAGGAATAAATATTAATTCTAACAAAACAACTTATAATGCCAAAAGACTAGAATCACTAAAAAATATTTGGAAAATATTAAAAGAAGAAATGCTCGATTAATCAGTAAATTACATTATTTTATAAAATTTTCATTGAAAGAATCTACATAGATGTCTTTCGGTGTATCATTAATATTCCCCAAATCAATATACAACTTTTTCTTGAATCAACAAAAAAAATGATTGATAAATACATTTACACTAATGAAACAAATCAAGAAAGAATTAATAAAACAAATCAAAATACAATTCACTTTATTTCGACTATAAAAAAGTCACTTTATAATATTAGTAATAGTAAAAGGAATTCACCTATTTTTGTGACTTATCTTCCTTGTCACAAGCATATGTATTTTACAATTTATCCCAAACCCACTTGGATAAATTAAGATCTGTTCTTCAATATCACGGAACATCTTTTTTTCTTAAGACTGGGATAAAGGATTCTTTTGGAACACAAGGAATAATTCATTCTGAATTAAGATATAAGAAATTTCGGAGTTATGGAGCGAATCAATGGAAAAACTGGTTAAGGGGTCATTATCAATACGATTTATCTCAGATTAGATGGTCTAGATTAATCCCACAAAAATGGCGAAATAGAGTCAATCAATGTCGTACAGCTCAAAAGAAAGATTTAAAGAAATGGAATTCATATGAAAAAAACCAATTACTTTATTACAAAAAACAAAAGATTCTGAAGTATATTCATTATCGAATCAAAAATATAATTTTAAAAAATACTTTAAATATGATCTTTTATCATATCAATCTATTAATTATGAAACTAAGAGGAACTCATATATTTCTGTTTATGGATCACCATTACAAGTAAATACGAATCAAAAGATTTCTTATAATTACAACACACCTAAAGGCAAATTATTTGATAAATGGGGGGGTATTCCTATCAATAATTATCTAGGAAGAGGTGATATTATGTATATGGAAAAAAATCCAGATAGAAAATATTTTGATTGGAAAATTCTCAAGTTTTGTCTTAGAAAAAAAGTCAATATTGAGGCCTGGATCAAGATCGATTCCAACAGTAATAAAAAAACTAAGATTGGAACTAATAATTACCCAATAATTGATAAAATTGATAAGAAAGGTCTTTTTTATCTTACAATTCATCAAGATCTAGAAATCAATCCACCCAATCATAAAAAAATCTTTTTTGATTGGATGGGAATGAATGAAGAAATACTAAATTGTCCTATATCCAATCTGGAACTTTGGTTCTTCCCCGAATTTGTGCTACTTTATAATGCATATAAAATGAAACCGTGGATTATACCAAGCAAATTACTTCTTTTAAATTTGAATATAAATGAAAATGTTAGTGAAAATAAAAACGTCAATGGAAAGCCAAAAGGGAATTTTTTTATACCATCGAATGAAGAAAAAAAATCTTTTGAATTAAAGAATCGAAATCAAGAAGAAAAAGAACCCGCAGATCGACGAGATCGTGGTTCAGATGCACAAAACCAAAGAAATCTTGGATCCCTTCTCTCAAACCAACAAAAAGATATTGAAGAAGATTATGCGCGATCAGACATGAAAAAACGTAAAACGAAAAAACAATACAAGAACAACACGGAAGCAGAACTAAATTTCTTCCTGAAACGATATTTGCTTTTTCAATTGAGATGGGACGATGCTTTGAATCAAAGAATGATCAATAATATTAAGGTATATTGTCTCCTGCTTAGACTGAGAAACCCAAGAAAAATTACTATATCCTCTATTCAAAGAAGAGAAATGAGTCTGAATATAATGCTGATTCAGAAGAATTTACCTCTTACAGAATTGATGAAAAAAGGGATATTGATTATCGAATCGGTTCGTCTGTCTGTAAAAAATGATGGACAATTTATTATGTATCAAACCATAGGTATTTCATTGGTTCATAAGAGTAAACGCCAAATTAATCAAAGATATCGAGAACGAGGATATGTTGATAAGAAGAATTTTGATGAATCTATTTCAAAACATCAAAGAATGACTGGAAATAGAGATAAAAATCATTCGAATTTACTTGTTCCTGAAAATATTTTATCATCTAGACGTCGTAGAGAATTGAGAATTTTAATTTGTTTCAGTTCAACGAATAGAAATGGTGTGAATAGAAATCCGGTATTTTGTAACGAGAACAACGTAAAAAACTGGAGTCCATTTTTGGATGAAAGTAAACATCTTGATAGTGATAAAAATGAATTAATTCAATTAAAGTTCTTTCTTTGGCCGAATTATCGATTAGAAGATTTAGCTTGTATGAATCGCTATTGGTTTGATACGAATAATGGCAGTCGTATCAATATGTTAAGACTACGTATGTATCCACGATTGAAAATTGGTTAATGTTAATACCGTATTTTTCCTATATATCCTATACCGTATATGGTATATGAAAGTAAACAGATGTACACATACCTTGTCTTACATCCCATTCTAATATACGTGAATAAAGTATCAATTAGATAAAAAGTGAATTGAATCAACAAAATCTTCTTCATTTTCGGTTTAAATATAAATTATTCGCTTTTGTGAGTGCAAAAACGTACCATCCTTTTGTATCCCTATTCGAATCCAATTTGATTAATTCATTTTAATTGATAAAATTAGGAGTCGATAAAGAAATTAAGATCATTATGTATATCACATTCAAATTACTGGCATTATTATTTCTGATCGATAAAATTACATATCTGTAAAGTAAAAAAAGGAGGAGGAAATTCTTTTATGGTCAAAAATTCATTCATTTCCGTTACTTCACAAGAAGAAAAGAAAGAAAACAGGGGGTCTGTTGAATTTCAAGTAGTCAGTTTTACCAATAAGATACGGAGACTTACTTCACATTTGGAATTGCACAAAAAAGACTATTTATCTCAGAGAGGTCTACGGAAAATTCTGGGAAAACGTCAACGGCTATTGGCTTATTTGTCAAAAAAAAATAGAGTACGTTATAAAGAAATAATTGGTCAGTTGGATATTCGAGAGATAAAAACTCGTTAATTTGAAGAATCTTTTTGATCGTTTAAATTTTGATGAACTTCTTTTTTTTTTTTCACTTTCAGCAATTCATGGAAGAATGAATGGGGAAAAACCTATGACTGCACCAGCTACAAGAAAAGACCTCATGATAGTCAATATGGGTCCTCACCACCCATCAATGCATGGTGTTCTTCGACTCATCGTTACTCTAGATGGTGAAGATGTTATTGACTGCGAACCAATATTGGGTTATTTACACAGAGGAATGGAAAAAATTGCAGAAAACCGAACAATTATACAATATTTGCCTTATGTAACACGTTGGGATTATTTAGCTACTATGTTCACAGAAGCAATAACTGTAAATGCACCAGAACAGTTAGGCAATATTCAAGTACCTAAAAGGGCGAGCTACATCAGAGTCATTATGTTGGAGTTGAGTCGTATAGCTTCGCATTTGTTATGGCTTGGCCCTTTTATGGCAGATATTGGGGCACAGACCCCCTTCTTCTATATTTTTCGAGAACGAGAATTGATATATGACCTATTCGAAGCTGCCACCGGTATGCGAATGATGCATAATTATTTTCGTCTCGGAGGAGTAGCTGCTGATCTACCTCATGGATGGATAGATAAATGTTTAGATTTTTGCGATTATTTTTTAACAGGGGTTGCTGAATATCAAAAGCTTATTACACAGAATCCTATTTTTTTAGAACGAGTTGAAGGAGTAGGCATTATTGGCGGAGAAGAAGCAATAAATTGGGGTTTATCAGGACCAATGCTACGAGCTTCCGGAATACAATGGGATCTTCGTAAAGTTGATCATTATGAGTGTTACGACGAATTTGATTGGGAAGTACAATGGCAAAAAGAAGGGGATTCGTTAGCTCGTTATTTAGTACGAATCAGCGAAATGAAAGAATCTATAAAAATTATTCAACAGGCTCTAGAAGGAATTCCAGGGGGGCCCTATGAGAATTTAGAAATCCGACGCTTTGATAGAGTAAGGGATCCCGAATGGAATGATTTTGATTATCGATTCATTAGTAAGAAACCTTCTCCGACTTTTGAATTATCACAGCAAGAACTTTATGTAAGAGTCGAAACCCCAAAAGGAGAATTGGGAATTTTTCTGATAGGAGATCAGAGTGTTTTTCCCTGGAGATGGAAAATTCGCCCACCCGGTTTTATCAATTTGCAAATTCTTCCTCAGTTAGTTAAAAAAATGAAATTGGCTGATATTATGACGATACTAGGTAGCATAGATATCATTATGGGAGAAGTTGATCGTTGAAATGATAATTGATACAACAGAAGTACAAGCTATCAATTCTTTTTCCAGATTGGAATCCTTACAAGAGGTCTATGGGATCATATGGATGCTTGTCTATATTTTGACTACTGTATTAGGAATCACAATAGGTGTACTAGTAATTGTTTGGTTAGAAAGAGAAATATCTGCAGGGATACAACAACGTATTGGACCTGAATACGCCGGACCTTTAGGAATTCTTCAAGCTCTAGCAGATGGTACAAAATTACTTTTCAAAGAGAATCTTCTTCCATCTAGAGGAGATAATCGTTTATTCAGTATCGGACCATCTATAGCAGTCATCTCAATTCTACTAAGTTATTCAGTAATTCCTTTTGGATATCATCTTGTTCTAGCTGATCTAAGTATTGGTGTTTTTTTATGGATTGCCATTTCCAGTATTGCTCCTGTTGGACTTCTTATGTCAGGATATGGATCAAATAATAAATATTCCTTTTTAGGTGGTCTCCGAGCTGCTGCTCAATCAATTAGTTATGAAATACCATTAACTCTATGTGTGTTATCAATATCTCTACGTGTGATTCGTTAAGAAATAAATTTTCCCTATTTTTTTTCTTTCTAGGAAGGAAGTTAAATAAGTTGAATATCCATTTTCATTTTTTTATTCATCATTCAGGCTGATGAACTAAACCAGATAGTTATATGAGTGAAAGAAAACGGCTTATAAATTTGCGGTAAAAAAATGGAGTCTCATTACCTATGTACAAGAGTTAAATGAAAGTAAATATAAGCAGTAAAGATTGGTTACCCCAAGATATTGGTTGATTAGTCATCATGGCTTGAAGCGGGTTCAAAAGATCAACTGTATAGAGGTTTTACTATTAATTACCATAACAGGAGATTGGGCAAAAATGAGTGGATGGCTAGGAACACCAAGGTACACAAAGGATTCGTAATGGAGATTATGTAAGTTATCCAACAGGATATTTCTGTGCATAAAAGGAATTTTAATTGGGGCTTTAAGTTAGTAGAAATGATCAAGAAGTACTCCCCACGATTCCGATCCAGAGTATACTCCTATCCACCGATTAAAGAAATAACTATCAAGAACGAACTAATCCTTTACTTTGTTTTAAAATCCCTTTTTATGAGAAAGGAGAATAGGAACGAAAAAATAGAAAGAATGTAATTGCAATAGAAAAAAGAGAGCTTTTTTTATTCTTTCTTTACTATATAATATAGATATTTAGACCTATATACATATTTTTAGAGATAAAATTCTTGTTAGGATTCCTGAACTAATGCAAGGTCTAATTCTTTTTCGTAATCGAAAATGCTAGGTTGAAATATCTATTGATATTTCTACAAGAAGAATTTTAATCAAGGATTAAGTTATTATTCAACAAAGAAAATTTGGAAATTATTAAAAGATGAGATCAATTCAGAAGCACTTTATATTCAATATTTTATATGAAATATAAAAAAATAGAAATATATATAGCAGACAGAATTCCATTGGTCTAATTCGGGACCTTAGGATAGATTTGGATTCTATATATCCTACAAACATAGCAAGATAAATAATAGTGAGTGGGTCCTTAGATTTATTTGTGACCTTCAAGGAGCCGTATGAGATGAAAATCTCATGTCCGGTTCTGTAATAGCGATGGGCACAGTGATGTTATCATCGACTATGATTATCTAACAGTTCAAGTACAGTTGATATAGTTGAAGCGCAATCAAAATATGGTTTTTGGGGATGGAATTTGTGGCGTCAACCTATAGGGTTTATCATTTTTCTAATTTCTTCCCTAGCCGAGTGTGAAAGATTGCCCTTTGATTTGCCAGAAGCAGAAGAAGAATTAGTAGCAGGTTATCAAACCGAATATTCAGGTATCAAATTTGGTTTATTTTACGTTGCTTCATATCTGAATCTACTGCTTTCTTCATTATTAGTAACAGTTCTTTACTTGGGGGTTGGAATCTTTCTATTCCGTACATATTTGTTCCTGAGCTATTTGAAATAAATAAAGCAGGTAGAGTCTTTGGAACAATAATTGGTATCTTTATTACATTAGCTAAAACTTATTTGTTCTTGTTCATTTCTATCACAACAAGATGGACTTTACCGAGACTGAGAATGGACCAACTATTAAATCTTGGGTGGAAATTTCTTTTACCTATTTCTTTAGGTAATCTATTATTAACAACTTCTTCCCAACTTCTTTCACTGTAAAGGAATACGATATTCTATATTCACTACTTGTGTCAAACAAGAGAAAGAAACAAGCATAAAATTATTTATACATATTCATGATATGTTCCCTATGGTAACTGAGTTCATAAATTATGGTCAACAAACAGTACGAGCTGCAAGGTACATTGGTCAAGGTTTCACGATTACTTTATCCCACGCGAATCGTTTACCTGTAACTATTCAATACCCCTATGAAAAATTGATAATATCAGAACGTTTCCGCGGCCGAATCCACTTTGAATTTGATAAATGCATTGCTTGTGAAGTATGTGTTCGTGTATGTCCTATAGATCTACCCGTTGTTGATTGGAAATTGGAAACTGATATTCGAAAGAAACGATTGCTGAATTACAGTATTGATTTCGGAATCTGTATATTTTGTGGTAATTGCGTTGAGTATTGTCCAACAAATTGTTTATCAATGACTGAAGAATATGAACTTTCTACATATGATCGTCACGAATTGAATTATAATCAAATTGCTTTGGGTCGATTACCAATGTCAGTAATTGACGATTACACAATTCGAACAGTTTTGAATTCGCCTCAAATAAAAAGGGGATAAACTTCTTGATTCAAGAACAATAAGACTCAGTTTAGATCTAAAAGAATGAGGTTTTTGCTTGATCAATAACTACTACTAACTATATCTACATTAACCCATACCCATTCAAATGGAATTCCATTTGAAATTTAATTCATAATTAAATTAATAATTAAGAAATATCGTCAAAAAATAGAGTAACTTCTTTTTTCCTGGTCAGGTCAATAAAGTCATGAAACATTTCGATTTATTTATCTCTTATTTTATATCTAATGGATTTACCTGGACCA